CGACAACAACAACAACAACAACAACAACAACCACAACTTCAACAACTACTACTACAACTCCAGCTCCAGCGTTCTTTTGACGACAATTTGTTCAACGCTGACAAGGCTTTTTCTACCTTAAAAAGAGAGCTCACGTAAGTGTAGTGGGAGTCTGGGTGGTAGATGAGCTGGGGCGGCGAAGTGACTCCGCAACTTGACCCCCATCCATGACAAGGATGCGATCCGAGTCCAGAATCGTGTTCAAGCGATGCGCGACGGTCTGTGTGTGTATGTGTCAATGTGTGTGGGAGTGTGTGTTGCAGTGGATGTGGGTGTGAGTGAATGAACCCCAACCGTTTCCTTCCCATTCCCATTCACCACGGTTTGCGGGACCGCAGCCGCAAGCCCAGAACCCAGCACATGATGCGACATGCCCCTGTGCACACATCACCACTTGCACATGACACATAACACGCAACACAAATCCAACAACAACAACAACAACAACAACTACAACTACAACAACAACAGCAACAACAACAACAACTACAACAACAACAACAACAACAACAACAACAACAACAACAACAACAACAACAACAACAACAACAACAACAACAACAACAACAACAACAACAACAACAACAACAACAACAACAACAACTCACCAGGACAGTGCACTCCTGAAACGCTTCACGAATTGTCTCCTGAATCAGTGCATCTGTTTGCGTGTCAATGGCAGCCGTCGCCTCGTCCATCACCAAAATGGTCTGAACATGGCGGGAACGTGTCAGCACAGACATACAGAGTGTGAGTGTGAGGGCAAGGGTGAGATGGGGTGTGAGGGTGACATGGGGGGGGATAAGTTGGAGGGTGAGAGACAAGGACACACACAAACACATGCACACACATATGCACACACACACACACACGCACGCAGGCACAAAAGCACTCCCAACACATGTACACACCGAGTGCCTGAGGAGGGCACGGGCCATGCAGAGCAGCTGGCGTTCGCCGACGGAAAAGTTCTCGCCGTTCTCCACAACAGGAGCATGCAGCCCCTGGGACAGCGACGACACGAGCGCTTTCACGTGCGCGCGCTCTGCACACACAGAGAAATTGACGGCCGAGAAGCATGACATTCAAGGCAACTCACAAAGTGAGAAACCGCACGCGACACCGAGAATGATGGTGTGTGTGTGTGTGTGAACCGACACAAACGTCAACATCTCCAACACCATGCACACGCACGCAAACACACATGCTCAACGACTTACGCAGACACATGACAGCACAGTGCAAACTCAGACGTCGTCAAGCGGCAGGTATACACGCGTACCGAGCGCGCGCCAGATGTCGTCGTCGGAGTGCTCCTCAAAGGGATCGAGGTTGTAGCGGATGGAACCAACAAACAGCACGGGATCCTGGCGGGAACGGCATGGGGTGGTGGCGGCGATCGTGAGCGCGCACGATCAAACTGCATGCACGCAAGGGTACACGCATACCCACACACATGCACTCTCTCACAAGCACTCTCTCTCACCCACTCACACACACACACTCTCTCTCTCTCTCACCCACCCACCCATTCACCCACCCATTCGCTCACTCACAATCACACACACACACACCCGCCTGACCTGTGGGATGATAGAGAGGCGGCTGCGGAGGAGAGACGCCTCGACGGACGCAATGTCAACACCGTCAATGCTGATGGAACCAGAGGTCAGCTCCATCATCCGATACAGCACCATCGCAATGCTGCATCATGGTGGTGATGGTGGTGGTGAGAGAAGAAGTGTGTGTGGTGGGGGGGGGAATTTGTGGGAATTTGTGAATGAATGTTTGTGATGTGGCATCAAGGTGCATGCCAACGATGTCACAAGAACAAAGGAACACCCATCCAAACACATACACACGTGCACACACATTCAGCCACAGCATGGCGTGACTTACGTTGATTTACCAGCGCCTGTTCGTCCAACGATTCCAATCTTCTCGCGCGGCCGGATGTTGAGCGTGACGTCACGAAGGACAGGTGGAAGGCCGGGCCGGTACGACACCTGGATCGTGCGACAAGGAAGTTGACAGATTGACAGAACATGCACAGCAAAGCAGACGCCGCGTGGAACATGAGTGATGCGTTGCAGGCAGGGCAGGGTGGTGATGAGACACAAAGCGGGGAAAGAAGAGTGCGCGCAGCATGAAACCGAAACACGCACACAAACACACGCACACAAACACACACACACACACATCCACACACAGTCACAAACAAACACACACACACAAACACACACACATCCACACAAACAGCACACACACATCCACACAAACAGCACACACACACAAACAAACAAACAAACAAACAAACAAACAAACAAACAAACAAATAAACAAACACAAAAGCGGGACCTTGACGCGATCAAAGGCGATGCTGCCAAACGCAGGCCAGTTCTTGGGCAGATCGCCCGGTGTCTTGACAGCAAAGCCAACCTCCTGCGGTGTCTCCGTGCCGTATCTGTTGTGACACGCGAGGCAACGGGTTCAGCATGATCCAAACCACACACGCCCGGACAGGTGTACGAACGTTCTTGACACACGGACACACATCAAAGGAAACGCAAACGCAAACACAACGAAAATGCAAGCGCGAACGCAAACGCAAACGCAACAGACAAACAAACAAAATAAGGCAGAGCTAACAAACAAAATAAGGCAGAGCAAATAAAGTGACCTGTGAATGCGCTCGACGCTGGTGAAGCGTGCCTCAACCTCGGCACTGAGACGTGTCGTGTACTGGAAGATGCCTGCCATGGACATTGCGTACGTAATGGCCAGCGCGGCGAGCTCAGGGCTCACGTGGCCGTGCAGCAGCACAGCTAGTAGCGACGTTGCAAGAATCATCATCTGCACACCGTGCGTTTTTGTGTGGGGGGGGGGAGATGGGCGAGGGAATTGCACGTTAGGCAGTTACTGAGCCCACGCCTGCATCACATACGTACACACGTGCGCGTAAATATACGAGCACACATGCACGCACGTCACCGCGTGTGATGGTGGTAAACGCACGGCTGTTGTGTAGTCGAGGCGAAAGGCAAACCAGCGGGAGCTGCAGTGGAAGAAGAAGAAGCACTTGGAGTGCTGGTCCAGCGTGGAGAAAAACTTGGTCAGGAACGCGTCTTTCTTCTCAAACGCCGCAATCGTGTGAATGCCCTGGATAGCATGGTCGACGCATGGTAGTGAGTGGATGCAATGCGTGTGTTGGGGAACAGGGTTTGAAGGTCGAGACAGTGTTCACGTCGGTGGTCACTTCGTGTGATGTCATATTGCTACACACACACACACACACACAAACCACCAATGGATATAGGTGCTTGCCCACAAGCTGATTACACACACACACACGCACGCACACATGCTCACACACACACACACACACGCACGCACACATGCTCACACATACACACACCAACCTGCAAGGTTGCTGAGAGCTGGGAAACGAGAGGAGAACGGGTGGCACTGGACAGGCGCTTCACTTGCCGCTGAGGAAAAGCAAGGAACAGGAATACACACACATACACACACACGCACACATACGCACATGTACACGCGCAAACATGCACACACGCACACATGCACACGCGCACACGTGCACACAAGGGAAGAAGAGCATTTGTGAGATACTCGACAACGCATCCAACACGACAGCGCATGCAACGGCACAGGCAAACACCAACACTTCCGCGGTTGTGTTACCTGGGTTGGGCGGAAGAAGTGGACAACAGAGAAGAAGAAAGCGGCGATTGGCACGAGCGCAAGCAGAAACCACGGGAACACATACGCAATCATGCACAGCGTAATCAACAGCTGTAGGCATGAACAACATGGTGGTGGTGAAGGACATCAGTGTGAGCCGGGAAGGTGTGTCCACAGGAACACCAATCAGCTGAAGCACCATAACCCGCACCACATTGCACCACATGCATGCAACAGCACCAACAACAACACACATTGTATCGCACCACAACGCGACGCACGCGCACGCACCCACCAAAGCCGAGTTTTGCAGGAACTGCTCAGCAACGAATGGGAGGCGCACGTCAATCTCGTCCAAATCCTGCAATGGTGAACAGAAAACAGCAGATGCATATGCAGTCATGGTCAAACCGTTGGTGAAGAAGTGCACACGTGGAAGCGCATGCTCACACACACACATACACATACATGAAGAATCACACATGCGCGCCACGTCTCCAAGCTGAAACACGCATATCAAACCACCATCACAGCAACAGCGATTATAGTAACAACAACAACATGACTGGACACTGCAGTATTACATGCACCACACCAGCAACACGTACAGCCATCACGGCAGAGCTGCACACACACACGCGCGCACACACACACACGCGCGCGCGCACACACCCGCGAAAAGCGGTTGAGGATCCGGCCCGTCGGCGTCGTGTCAAAGAACGACATGGGCGCATGGATAATCTGCAACACACGCATGCACACGCACACAAACGCACACGCGCACGCACGCACGCACAATTTTGGAGTGACACGATGAGTGCGCATGCCTCAAAGAATGTGGGGCTGGACGCCTGCAAAGGCACGACAACGCACGTGACAGTGCACATACACACCCGCTCAAAGACTTGTTTGTGGAGGTTGGAGCTTGCTGCGAGGGTTTGGCGGACAAACAGGAACCCTTTGAAGCCCTGGAACAAGAACACGGCAAGAAGAGGAACAAAACACAACACGAGAATTTGAGTGAGCACGTGGTGTGGACCGGCGAACCCACTTGCGACAAGTGGGTGACAGCGCACGAGCCACAACATGCAGCAAATCAATGCATCTCTCACTCTTAGCATCTCCACAGTAGAAGCACACGCTCGTGTAGTCGCATGTCACACACACACACACTCACACACACTCACACATTCACACACATTCACATTCACATTCACATACACACACACGTACACACACACACGTACACACACACACACAAACAAACAAACAAACAAACAAACAAGCGCAGCCCGTTGTGGACCTGGAAGGCGAGGAGGGCAACGAGTGTCATGCCGTAGACGAGGGCGTGCATGTCGAGATCTGGGTTGTCCGAAGGATCGCCGCGGTCACCGCGCGTTGTGCTGTTGCCATCGCCCTGCCCATGAACATAACACAACAACAAAGCGTGTGATCGATGGTTGGCATCACGAGTGGTGAGGAATGGATAAGTGATGAAACGTAACTCATGCACACACACTGCAATGTGTAGGCTTCAGACATAATCACGGTACACACACACTCTCTCTCTCTCTCGCACACAAAGGCGAGCCCGCGGGTCCTGCTTGCTACAACCCCACTGCATTGAGACAGCACGACGACATTGGCACGGCACGTGAGCACACCTGCCGGATCCAGTAGCCGAGGTAGTAGTCGCTGTAGGCCTTGGAGAACATGGCACAGCCAAAGAGGAGGAGAATGAAGAGAAACAGCAGAACACCGCCACCCGCGCGCGCGTAGTTGGCGTATGTAGCCAGCGTGATGCCGCCCTGGCCAACGTCCTCGGCCTGGTGACGCGACAAAGGTGAAGGAAAATTTGAGGGGTAGGGACAAAAGATCGTGGTAGAACGAGGAGGAGGGACAGGACGCACAGACATTTGTGGACAGCAGTGAGAAAGGAGGATGCGATGCACTGAACACAGGACAGAGGGAATGGGGAAACCACATGTGGGCCACAAGCAAGCTGCAACAGCATGACAAGAGCGAAGCAATAAAACAGCAGCAACCCGTGCCCACATGTGTACGCACCTCAACCAGCTTTCCAGACGCCTTCTTCTTCTCCTTCTTCTCTTTCTCGTCATCTTCTGGGCGGGCACAACAAACAAACACAGACGATCACGCAAACGTATCAGCAACATGTGTATGGAGCCATGGCTCTTGCAGAGTTGTGAAACAGATCAAGAAGGCAAAGCAGCAGCACAACGCACAATGAAACAGCATCTCACCTCCAGAGTCCTTTGCTGCTTCGCCCTGTGTTTGAAGTGGAAGCAACCACATGCAAACAGTGGGATAATGAGTTTGTGGATGAACTCGGTCTTGTGTGCAATCATTTCATGCACGCTCTCAAATCACCTTCGCCAGCGCTTGCACACACACACATGCGCGAGAAAAGAGACACAATCCACCCCACAAATCAAGACAAGCCACAACCGGCAAACCAGCAAATCCACGCCCGCACGCACACACACACACACACACACGTGTGCACAAGGAGAATAATTGCGTGATACCCTGCCTCACCACCAGTCTAATCTTTTGCTACCTGATCCTGAACGTCGGCGGCGCTCTTGGTCGCTTCTTCGAGTTTCGCCTTCTTCTCGCCGCTGTCATCGTTGTCCCCATCCACCACCACCGCCTCCTGCTCCTCCTCTTCCTCCTCCTCCTGGCTGCGGCGGTGCTGCTCAATGGTCTTGCGGTACGACGTGTTGCTCTTCATCAGCTCGTCGTGTGTGCCCACGGCAGCCCGGTTGTTCTCCAGAAAACACACGCGGTCGCATGCAGGAAGATACTGCAGTTGGTGCGTCACAAGCAGAATCGTGCGGCCTTCCAGAATCCCCTTGATGCACCTGCGCCAGAAGTGTGTGTCGCGATTTGTGTTGTATGCGTGTGCGCGTGTTTGTATGTGCGTTGTGAGAGAGTGCGTGTGACGTCAGCAGAACGGGCAATATGACGTGCAACTTGTCACAGCCAGCAACAGCAGCCGCACGCACAACTTCACACGACAACACAACAGGCACACAGACAACTGACTTGTCGAAGATTGACCGGCCAACGTGGGCGTCCACGGCGCTGAGAGGATCATCCAAGAGATACACCTGACAAAAATGGATGGAAGCATGAAGTGGTTAGTGGTTGATGAGGTGAGCGGCACACTTGAAGGACCTGCAGTGGACAGCTTCACACGCGCGTGATGGCGCCGCTGACAACATGCACGCAACAGCCGCAAGCGCAAACACGGCCACCAACCACCAACAACAACCACAGCACACACACACACACACGGTGGCGAACACAGCCCGTACGTCGCGGTCTGCGTAGACGGCGCGAGCGAGATTGATGCGCTGCTTCTGACCGCCACTCAGGTTGATCCCGCGCTCCCCAATCTCCGTCTCCTCCCCAGCAGGGAGCACCTGCCATGTGTACATGTGTATGAGTCATTGTGTGTGTGTGTGTGTGTGTACATGTGTATGAGTCATTGTGTGTGTGTGTGTGTGTGCGTGTGTGCGACTGCCTGGAGAACCGGAGCAGCCAAAACAGAAACTGGGAAACTGGATACCAAAGCGAGCGAACACTTGCAACACAACACAACACAACACAACACAACACAACACAACACAACACAACACAACACAACACAACTGTTCGCACCGTGATGTCGTGTCGCAGACTGCAAGCCGTGAGCACACGCTCGTAAAAGTCTTCGTCGCGCTCCTGTGAAGCAAAATAACGGAGCAGAGGGCATGAGAGAAAGGACGCAAGTGTGAACGAAGAGTTCGCGTGTGTGACTCAGTGAGCACCATTGTAATGGGTGTCGTTTGCCAATCAACAATAAACTATTGCGTCAGGTGGCAACAGAGGTGAAGACAACGTCTCTCATCACATCACGCACGTGCAACAAAACTACAACACCGCACACGCGCGCGTATACACAAACACACATGTGGGCGTCAACAAGAGCACAAGCAAACAATCACCTGTTCGAAGAGGATGTTGTTGGCGAGGGTGTCTGACTGAATCCACGCCTGCTGCGCAACATACGCCACACTGCCGCCAATTGCAACCCGCCCTTTCTTGATGTGCAGCTGAAACCATAAACAGCAATCGGTGGTGTTTGTGGGGGCAGAGGAGGACGAGAGAACATGCATGAAGCACAGAGTGCATGATGGTATGTACAGAGATGTGCGCTGACACGACACAGCAACGACAATCGCACACACACGCGCGCGCACATATCCAACCCCCCCCCAAGACCACACACACACACGCACACACACACGCACCTGTCCAAGCAGAGAGCTGAGGAGCGAGGACTTGCCGCTGCCAACAGCACCGCAAATGCCAATCAACTCGCCTGTTAACGCATGTCATACAGCCCGACGCGAGATTGTGAGAGAAATGCACACAAAACCACCAGTGCACCAGATGTACTCCGGGTGCTCAAATCGCCACACACACACACACACGCACACACACACATGCACACACGCATTCACACACTCGCGCGCACATGCAGCACCAAGGGCACAGGTGCTGTGTGACTTGCCTTTCTTGACAGAGAGGTTGATGTCACGCAAGACGATGTAATCCTCGCCAACGCGACGACCCGTGCTCTGAGCGCACACATCAGTGTTGTCATCACCAGCATCATCATTGCTGCTGCCATTCACACCGTCAGCGGGCTTTCCGTTGCTCTTGGCGTCTGTGCTGCTAACATTGCCATCGCCATGTGTCTGCTTCGACTTTGCGTGCTCGCCTTTCTTCACCACCGCCGGCCAATATAGCGTCGCGTCTGCAAACTCAACAGCAACGTCGTTCGCCTCTGCATTGTACATACATATGTAAAATGCATGAATGTGTGTGTGTGTATGTGTGTGTATGTGTGTGTAAGTGCATGTGTGCATGTGCATGTGTGTGTGTATGTGCATGTGTGTGTATGTGTGTGTGTGTGTGTGTGTGTGTGTGTGTGTGTGGCCAGCATGGAATGAAATCGAGTCATGTTGGGCTGCCCCCTTCTCGCGTACCTGGCGACGGCAACTTGATGCGGGCGTCGTCAACAAGAAGGAAATTGCGCAGGCGCTGGAAGCCAACCTGCGCTTCCGCACGCGCTTTCACGCCCTGTTCAGTGCGTGTGTGTGTGTGTGTGTGTGTGTGTGTGTGTGTGTGTGTGTGTGTGTGTGTGTGTGTGTGTGTGTGTGTGTGTGAGGTTGACAGGAGATTGCCGTGGAATGGGCATTGCCAGCGACAACAACCGTGGTGTCACGCTGCTTGAAGCACGGGTCTGCGCTTTCGCGCATTGTATGGATGGATGGATGGATGCGCGGGAAGGAAGGCTCTAGATTGACGACATGAATGACATCGTGACAAGGGTGGGAACAGAGAAGGCAAGGGAGGGGAGGGGAGGAGAGACGAGATCATGGTGGAGAGGGAGGGAAAGCACCAACAAAGGCACAAAAGGGACAATCACAACAACGACAACGACAACAGTGGGGGGGGGGGACGATTACAGCTTGGCAACAAACTCCTTGAGCGCCTTGGTGCTCATGGACTTGGGGCGCTCAATAGGGAGGCCTGTGTGCGTGTGCGCGTGCATGTGCGTGTGCGTTTTGTGAGGACGAGAAAGGCGCGTATGATGGAGACATACATGTTGCGTGGAAACCAAGGCAATCGTCGGCAGCAGATTGCACGAACAAACGTGCATGCACACAGACACATGCATACATTCACACACTCACACACTCACACACAAACACACACGGCAAGAACACACTACACATTTACGCACCGAGCGCGCGGTCCCAGACGAGGGAAGGAAGGACGCCAAGGGCGCGGGAGACGCCAAAGAGGACAGTGTAGAAGTTCTGCTCGTTGAAACCGTAGTGGCGGAGAAGGACACCGCTGTGGGCATCGACGTTGGGCCAGGGGTTGGCGGCCTTGCCCTGCTCAAGAAGAATGTCGGGCACAATCTCGTACAGCTTGCTCACAAGGCGGAACAGCTTGTCATCACCAAGGTGCTGTCAAGGAAACGAGCGCGCAGGGGAAAGCAATCGGCACAGATGAGACAATGGTTGCGGAGCACAATGTGGAGCGGGGCGGGGCCCAAGCACCACCACGACAACCACGAGTACAATCACAACCATGAGTACAATCACAACCACAATCACAACCATGAGTACAATCACAATCACGAGCACGAGCACGAGTACAATCACAATCACGAGCACAATTACAACCTCAAGCACAAGCACGAGCACAATCACAATTTTGGGCATACAGAGCATCCCGCCCCACAATGTCGCGAACCTTGAGGGCAAACTCGCGCTGGCAGGTGTAGCGGGGGTCGGTCTTGCGAAGGACGGCATGGCCGTAGCCGGGGACAACGTTGCCAGACTTGAGGGTGTTCCAGACAAAGTCCTTGAGCTGCTCGTCAGTGAAGTCCTCGCCAACCTCCTTCTGCACCTCTGTGAGCCACTGGAGAACCTCCTGGTTGGCAAGACCGTGCAGGGGACCAGCAAGGCCAGACATGCCCGCGGCAAAGGAGAGGTAGGGATCCGACAGCGCAGAGCCAACAAGGTGCGTGGCGTGGGCGGACACGTTGCCACCCTCGTGATCTGTGCGCAATGGAACGATATGATACGATGACAAAACAAGCAGGTGGAAGGGAGGGAAGAAAGAGAGAGAGTGTGTGTGTGAGAGAGTGAGAGAGATGGGGAGGGGGAGGGAGGATTCCGTGAGTACAAGCAGCGAGCAACAAGAGTGCGTATACACAACGCGAAAACCTAGCAGCGAGGCGCGAAGCAAGACAGTCACAGGTTGTTGTTGGGGTGGGTGGTGATCATGTCTGTGCGCCGTTAATGCTGTTGGTTGGGTTGGGTTGAGCGTGGCACATGAGCAAACGCACCGGCGTGGATGGTGAGGTAGAGGCGCATCAGCTCGGTGAAGTCCTTGTTGGTGTAACCCATCATGTTGCAGAAGTTGGCAGACCCTGAGAACGACAAACAACGCGAGGCGGGGTGTGGAAGGTGAGTGGAGCCTCGAAAGCTTCAACCGGGTGTTCTCAAAGTCCAACACGTTGCTCTCACAGTCGCTTCGCATGCACCATTCAACGTGCCACACCGCACTGGGTGCACGCCACGCAAGGAAGCAACAGCATGTGCTCACCAACATGCTCAAGCACAAGCATGTGTACGGAAAGCACAAGTACAAGCACAGACAAACGAACGTACACACACACACAGACCGACATGCCAGTGGCACGCATTGTGGGGAACTTACAGTCAAGCTCGGGGTCGATGCAGGCGACGTTGCCGTCACCGTATGTGTTCTTGTAGATGGAAGCGGCGACGACGGGGAGCTTGGCAATGAGGTTCATGCTGTCCTCGTAGAAGAGCTCCCAGAACTGCTTCTTGGAGACGGACTTGGCGGCGTAGGCCTTGGCAAACTCAGACTCGGTCTGCAGGGCTGCAATGGCAGACACAAACTGGGTCATGGGGTGCATGGTGGAAGGGAACTTGGCAATCATGTCGGCGACGTGGCTGGGGAGGTCGGCGCGGGCGGCAAGCTCGCGGGACACGGCGCGGACCTGATCCACGGTGGGAATCTCGCCGGTGAGGAGGAGCCACAGGGCACCCTCGGGGAGGGGCTCCTCGCCGCCGTCGGCCTTGGGCAGGAGCTCCTGCAGCTCGGGCAGGGTGTAGCCGCGGTAGCGGATACCCTCCTCGGGGTCGAGGACGGAGGTCTCTGTGACGAGGCCCTTGATGCCGCGCATGCCGCCGTAGGCCTGGCGCACGGTCACAGTGCCAATGACAGTGTCGTCGTGCTCTGAGCGGAACTCCTTGACATCAGCCTGCAACAACAACAACACCAACACACAACAAACAACAAACAACAAACAAAACAAGGCAAGGCAAGGCCGGTGATGAGGGGAGGGGCTTGTGTGCGCTTTTGCTACTTTCACAAACACAACACACACACACACACACACAAACAACGCACACACACACACACACACACACGCAAACACACACGCAAACACACACAACACAACAAACACAACACACAAACACACCACACAAACACACACACACACACACACACAAACACACACACACAACACAACCAACAACCAACGCACAAGCGCACCTGCACTTGGGGAATAATCTCCGTGAGGCGCTCCTTGAGGCCACTGGAGGACATGGCAGCAGCCGATGTGGAGAGGTAGCGGGCCACAGGCCGGGTCGCAACACGAGCGAGGTGCATGCTTGCGGGCTTGTTTTGGTCGTGCGTGGAAAGCGGGGTTGGTTGGTGGCGGCAACAAACACACACAAGGGGGGAAGTGGCGGTGGTAGTGGAGCGTGGCTGCTGGGCCGAGCCGATTTCCACTGACTTGCACCACAAATTGCTGGGCTTGCGGCGTGCGTGGTCTGATTTACGAGTATGACAGCGAATTATCGTATGCGGAAAGCGATAATCGTTTGAGCCCCAAAACTCATGCTCCACCTATACAACCCCACCATCACAATTTTGGCGCACCAAGCTCTTGTTTTGTGGGCAGGGGCAGTGCAGCAGCGTGCAGTGTGAGGTGACATGACTGACATGAAGCCGTGAGGTGATGTGAGACATGACATGACTGACATGAAGCCGTGAGGTGATGTGTGACAGGCAGTGACAATGAGTCGGTGGCACAGCACTCTCCCCTCGTGTCACGTTTGACGGGGTCCATGTATGTCTACTGATAACTGTACAACCTTCCAACGCAGAGGGGTAAAAGGACATGGTGTAAATGCATGACATGACACATTCAACAGCGAACAGTGCAAGGGCCTAGAAAGCAAGTGATGCAAGAGAGACCGGGGGGGGGGGGAGAGGAAAAGTGTTGTGGAGTAAGGGGATCCTAGGTGTGGAGTGAGGCAGTGGTCGTGGTTGCGCACGTACATGCACACGCACA